GACGTGTCAGTGGGGTGGGGCTATAAAGATGAGGTGAATCATAGAATTGATGAGGGGGGAAAAGGGGGAGTGGTGCACTTAGAGTCTGTGGAGCAAAGAACTTTGTCCTTGGAGGCAAAGAAGGGGGAAAGTATGAGAGTATGTTTTAAAACCCAAAGCTCTTATTGGGGGGTGAACAGGGTGTGAATGTTGCAGCGAGGAAAGGCTGGAGGAGTGGAGATGTCATGTTGAGGGCAATGTTGGGTGAATATAATGCAAGAATTCGTAGTTTGGAAATTAGGGGGAGGGCGGGGTTACCAAAACTGTTGTCCAGAGGGTGAGGAAGGGGTTTTTGAAGTGGTTTGGCTTTTGAGAGAATGGAGTGAAACAGAAAGACTTCAAAAAGGGGTTTTCAGCTGTGTGGAAGGAAGGCGGGGTAGGGGGGGCCTAGGAAGGTTGGAGGGGGGGGGTAAAAAGGGGGTTTTTTTGGCAAGGGCTTGGACTTCCCGCAGGCATCGTGAGTGGTTTTGATAGGAGTGAATGGGCAAATATTTTTAAACTTGACGTGCTGTTTGGAGTGTGAGCAAAGTAACATTTTTTGAAGGGGTTCGGGAAACCCCAGGGGCCCGGGCTTATCCTGGGGGATGGGAATACAGTGCCTGCACTTGAAGGAGGGGGGTTTTTTTTATTTCAGTTTAAAAACTTAGTGTAAAGCACCCTTGGCAAACATGTTGGGTTAAAAGAGGTGAAAGTTTTTTTTTTCGGGCCCCCCTGCCTTTGGGGGTAATCGGGCCCCGGGGATAATAAAAAAAAAATAATTTTTATAATTAGGTGTAGCTTAGAACAGCAACCACCCGGGAGGGACTACCGTCCTGCCAATGAAAGTAAAACAAAAAGCCTGTAATTTTTTTACATGAGGAGGATTGCTGGTTTTTTTTTTTGTCGTTCCCTAAAATGCAAGATTAAAAGTATGTCTTGTACTTTACTTTCACTTAGGGCCCCACTACAATACATAACCGTTTATTTAACACACTCATCTGAGTTTTTTTTTTGATTTTATTTAATATTCTTGGGCTTATTATTTTTTCCTTTTTTTTTTCCCCTGGGGAATGAATAAAATCTTTCCCCCATAAGCCATGCGTGTTGTAAAAGTCAACTAAAATGCCGGGACAATGGGCTAGTAACCCCTTTTCCTGTATAGATTACTAAAAAGAATAAGAAGAAGAAAATTGTCAAAGTGGGAAGTCTGAACGTGCATGGATGTTGTGCAAATGATAAGAAAGAGATGATTGTGGATGTTATGAATGAGAAGAAGCTGGATGTCCTGGCTATAAGTGAAACAAAGCTGAAGGGGGTGGGAGAGTTTCAGTGGAGAGGAATAAATGGGATTAGGTCAGGGGTTTCAAATAGAGTTAGAGCTAAAGAAGGAGTAGCAATAATGTTGAAGGATAAGATATGGCAGGAAAAGAGGGACTATAAATGTATTAATTCAAGGATTATGTAGAGTAAGATAAAGGTTGGGTGTGAAAAGTGGGTTATAGTAAGTGTATATGCACCTGGAGAAGAGAGAATGTAGTGGAGAGAGAGAGATTTTGGGAAATGTTGAGTGAATGTGTGGGAGTTTTGAACCAAGTGTGAGAGTACTTGTGGTTGGGGATTTCAATGCTAAATTGGGTAAAAATGTTGTGGAGGGAGTAGTAGGTAAATTTGGGGTGCCAGGGGAAAAATGTAAAGGGGGAGCCTTTAATTGAGCTATGTGTAGAAAAAGATTTGGTAATAAGTAATACATATTTTGAAAGAGGATAAATAAATATACAAGGTATGATGTAGCACGTAATGAAAGTAGTTTGTTAGATTATGTATTGGTGGATAAAAGGTTAATGGTTGGGCTCCAGGATGTACATGTTTATAGAGGGGCAACTGATATATCGGATCATTATTTAGTTGTAGCTACAGTTAGAGAAAGAGGTAGATGGGACAAGAGGAAGGTGGCAACAACAAGTAGGAGGGAAGTGAAAGTGTATAAACTAAGGGAGGGGAAGTTCGGGTGAGATATAAGCGACTATTGGCAGAAAGGTGGGGGTAGTGCAAAGATGGGGTTGTGGGGGCTTGAAGAGGGTTGGATGAGTTTTAAAAATGCAGTATTAGAATGTGGGGCAGAAGTTTGTGGTTATAGGAGGGTGGGTGCAGGAGGAAAGAGGAGTGATTGGTGGAATGATGAAGTAAAGGGTGTGATAAAAGAGAAAAAGTTAGCTTATGAGAGGGTTTTTTTCAAAGCAGAAGTGTTATAAGAAGAGCAGAGTATATGGAGAGTAAAAGAAAGGTGAAGAGAGTGGTGAGAGAGTGCAAAAGGAGAGTAGATGATCGAGTGGGAGAGGCACTGTCAAGAAATTTTAATGAAAATAAGAAAAATTTTTGGAGTGAGTTAAACAAGTTAAGAAAGCCTAGGGAACGTATAGATTTGTCAGTAAAAAACAGAGTAGGGGAGTTAGTAGATGGGGAGAGGGAGGTATTACGTAGATGGTGAGAATATTTTGAGGAACTTTTAAATGTTGAGGAAGAAAGGGAGGCAGTAATTTCATGCACTGGCCAGGAAGGTATACCATCTTTTAGGAGTGAAGAAGAGCAGAATGTAAGTGTGGGGGAGGTACGTGAGGCATTACGTAGAATGAAAGGGGGTAAAGCAGCTGGAACTGATGGGATCATGACAGAAATGTTAAAAGCAGGGGGGATATAGTGTTGGAGTGGTTGGTAACTTTTGTTTAAATTTAAATGTATGAAAGAGGGGAAGGTACCTAGGGATTGGCGGAGAGCATGTATAGTCCCTTTATATAAAGGGAAGGGGGACAAAAGAGATTGTAAAAATTATAGAGGAATAAGTTTATTGAGTATACCAGGAAAAGTGTACAGTAGGGTTATTATTGAAAGAATTAGAGGTAAGACAGAATGTAGGATTGCGGATGAGCAAGGAGGTTTCAGAGTGGGTAGGGGATGTGTAGATCAAGTGTTTACATTGAAGCATATATGTGAACAGTATTTAGATAAAGGTAGGGAAGTTTTTATTGCATTTATGGATTTAGAAAAGGCATATGATAGAGTGGATAGGGGAGCAATGTGGCAGATGTTGCAATATATGGAATAGGTGGTAAGTTACTAAATGCTGTAAAGAGTTTTTATGAGGATAGTGAGGCTCAGGTTAGGGTGTGTAGAAGAGAGGGAGACTACTTCCCGGTAAAAGTAGGTTTTACACAGGGATGTGTAATGTCACCATGGTTGTTTAATATACAGTGGACCCCCGGTTTGCGATATTTTTTCATTCCAGAAGTATGTTCAGGTGCCAGTACTGACCGAATTTGTTCCCACAAGGAATATTGTGAATTAAATTAGTCCATTTCAGATCCCCAAACATACATGTACAAACGCACTTACATAAATACACTTACTTGATTGGTCGTATTGGGAGGTGATCGTAAAGCAGGGATCCACTGTATTTATAGATGGGGTTGTAAAAGAAGTAAATGCTAGGGTGTTCAGGAGAGGGGTGAGATTAAATTATGGGGAATCAAATACAAAATGGGAATTGACACAGTTACTTTTTGTTGATGATACTGTGCTTATGGGAGATTCTAAAGAAAAATTGCGAAGGTTAGTGGATGAGTTTGGGAGTGTGTGTAAAGGTAGAAAGTTGAAAGTGAACATAGAAAAGAGTAAGGTTATGAGGGTATCAAATGATTTAGATAAAGAAAAATTGGATATCAAATTGGGGAGGAGGAGTATGGAAGAAGTGAATGTTTTCAGATACTTTGGAGTTGACGTGTCGGCAGATGGATTTATGAAGGATGAGGTTAATCATAGAATTGATGAGGGAAAAAAGGTGAGTGGTGCGTTGAGGTATATGTGGAGTCAAAAAACGTTATCTATGGAGCAAAGAAGGGAATGTATGAAAGTATAGTAGTACCAACACTCTTATATGGGTGTGAAGCTTGGGTTGTGAATGCAGCAGCGAGGAGGCGGTTGGAGGCAGTGGAGATGTCCTGTCTAAGGGCAATGTGTGGCATAAATATTATGCAGAAAATTTGTAGTGTGGAAATTAGGAGAAGGTGTGGAGTTAATAAAAGTATTAGTCATAGGGCTGAAGAGGGGTTGCTGAGGTGGTTTGGTCATTTAGAGAGAATGGATCAAAGTAGAATGACATGGAGAGCATTTAAATCTGTAGGAGAAGGGAGGGGTTGGAAGGAAGGGGTAAGGGAGGTTTTGTGGGCGAGGGGCTTGGACTTGCAGCAGGTGTGCATGAGCGTGTTCGATAGGAGTGAATGGAGACGAATTGTATTTGGGACCTGACGATCTGTTGGAGTGTGAGCAGGGTAATATTTAGTGAAGGGATTCAGGGAAACCGGTTATTTTTATATAGCCGGACTTGAGTCCTGGAAATGGGAAGTACAATGCCTGCACTCTAAAGGAGGGGTTTTGGGATATTAGCAGTTTGGAGGGATATGTTGTGTATCTTTATACGTATATGCTTCTAAACTGTTGTGTTCTGAGCACCTCTGCAAAAACAGTGATTATGTGTGAGTGAGGTGAAAGTGTTGAATGATGATGAAAAGTATTTTCTTTTTGGGGATTTTCTTTCTTTTTGGGTCACCCTGCCTCAGTGGGAGATGGCCGACTTGTTGAAAAAAAAAAAAAAAAATCTTCCTAGACATCTTAGTTAAATGCAAAAGTTGTCTGTTACTACCAATGAGAATGAAGAAGTTGGAGTGCCTCAGTAGTCATGCATAACTGAATAAGTAAAAAGAAAGCAAGAGAAAGACTCAGGTAAAGGAAGAAGAAACAGGGTGCTAATGTGCACCAAACACAATCATTTAATACTTTATTTACTTTTTTTTTGGGGGCGGGGGTTGATAGGTTTTGCTCTATTTTTCTCCTTTTATGTTATTTTCATCAGAAATACAACTACATTATTGTATTTTAAATGAAGCCTGTTTATTAAATATATTTCATGAAAAGTGTTAGTGCATTTTATCTTTTTCTTTTTCAGCTTCTCATCTCTGCAACAATTTATCCATTTGCTATAACAGTTCATAGAAATTATATTTACTGGACTGATCTCCAACTTCGGGGAGTATTCCGAGCTGAGAAGTACACAGGAGGAGATATGGTAGAGATGGTTCGTAGGCTGGAAGAATCCCCAAGAGATATCCATGTATTCTCTGATGAGCAGCAGATCTGTGAAACCAATATGTGTGAGATTAACAATGGTGGTTGTGCCCAGTCTTGCCATCCAAGTACTGATAATAAGGTATTTTTATTTACTCAATGTGTTTATTTTTTTTATTTTACTTATCTGAGGCAATTATAAATATACTTAACAGATGGAGGATCGAGCTTCTGCCACTCCTTGCACTGAATAACCCACATGGGTTTAGCACTTCACATAAATATGATGATACTACTACTACTAATAACTACGATGAATAGTAGTTTTCGTGTCTGAGCTTTAGCAGCCTGCCTCCTCCTTTCAGATAAAAGGCTTGCTGCAAGAGCCAATTAATTATTGTATGTACAGTATGAGCAGCTAGCAATTGTGTACCTAAGGTCTGTAATCATAGAGGGAGTATTGCTCATGTTTCATTGCTTAACTGTTATTGTAGATAACATTTCATTCTTCATTTCAAATTTAGAAATCTTTGCATTCCCTTGTCTTTAGATATCTCAGTTCATTACCAGTGTAAGTACATTATTTATTACATTCTTAAGATCTAGAAGTTTTTGTTGTACCTTGGCTGTTATTGTACAAATGTCACTAACTTATTAACATACATAGCTCAGCTCTGCTGTTAGTTTTGTAGATATAAAGTTCTTTGAGGCTACAGTGCAACATTACTTGACGCATTTTGTCAAAGGTATTGTTGAAAAGATTGGTAATTATTTCTTTTAAGGTTGAATGTAAATGCAATGCAACACTGAAGCTAGTCAATGAAAACAAGATGTGTGTTGCACAGACTTACAATTGTGATGTAAACAAATTCTACTGCGCAAATGGGAAATGTATATCACGTTTGTGGGCATGTGATGGCTCAGATGACTGTGGTGATAAGTCTGATGAAGATAGAAACTACTGTAGTAAGTACTAGTGATGTACAGTGTTTGTAAATTTATTTTGAAATGGTGTCAAATGTTAGTACTTTTTCTGTATTAATTTTCTTGTGTGCAAACACAAACAAGATTTTTATGCATAATTCTTATTGTCTTGGAACAGCATATCATACATGTAGTCCTAGCGAATTCCGATGCAAGAATGGCCGTTGCATTTTCTCCACTTGGAAGTGTGATCACGAAGATGATTGTGGTGATGGGTCAGATGAAGAAGGATGTGAGTATCCTCCATGTGCTGAAGGCGAGTTTACATGTGCCAACCATCGCTGTATCCCAATCTCACAGGTTAGTTGCTTTTGGCAAAACCTTCCCAATTAATGTATAGTGTTTTGTATTGCATGTGTAATCATAGACTAATTGTTTATTGAACATTACAGTGTGTGAACACAAACTTCACATGGACTGCAAATGAAGCACTTAGTAGAAAGGACCTGTATGTTTTAGTGTCATATACACCTTCTTTGGCAAACAAAGACTATCTCTGCTAGAGGCCAAAATATACAAATCTTTTCTGTTCTGTGTTTTATTTTGTATAGATGTGGGATTTACCTGTCTGTTCATTGATCAGTGTTTACAATGCTTATATAATAATACAGTAGATGTTCATATGTTTTATATAGCTAGATTATATAAAATAGTTCCCTATTTGAGTTTCCAGGGGTTCTTGGGCTCAACTGTACTTTGTATTAACTGACCTGAATCAACTTCAGTGGAATGCTCTCTACTGTGCCATTGTAGAGAAGCTGTCTAGAAAAAGCCTTGTTGTAACAGCCTTAGCTGGAGAGGTATCCAGAAAGGTAATAACTTTAAAATTACCCATGAAAAGTACCTGTGGCAGCATTCCAGCATGGTGGATTATAGGTCAATTCAATTCAAGTTTATTCTCTATAAGGGTTACAATGTGGGATTTACAGGTTTTGGGTATTGTGTGGTTTACATGTTATAAAATACTAACTACAGAGGGGGCCACTAGGACACCTAGCATGGCTAGGCATTTCGAGCAGACTTAGATTAATTCTTAACATTAAATCCTTACAAATTATGGTATTAAGGCTAAGTGACTACATCATAATTTGTGAGTTTAGCAATGTGAATGCTTTTGTTTTGGCACAATACAAAGTGTCTATATTGGAGTATCATAGGCAAACTTATGACTAGTTAGGATTTATTATTTTAAGATTAAGATTAGTATTTCTGGGTTTATAGTCAGTGGGTGAGTGAGTGTAATTGTGAACCACCAGGTGGTTATCATGTAGTTAGTTGTCGGGGTGGATAAGGGAGATAAGATGTTTTCTAACTGTAGTTTTGAAAGTGATGAATGTGTCTGTAGTTCTAGAGTTTTCAGGTTGGGTGTTCCAGATTTTTAGGTCCTTTGAAATACATTGAATTTTTGCAAGGTTTAGTCGAACACGGGGAATGTCATAGAGATGTTTGTGTCTGGTGTTATGCCTGTGGATCCTGTCACAACTATCAAGAAAGCATTTTAAGTCAAGGTTAATATTGGAATTTAAGGTCCTGTAGATATAGATTGCATAGTGGTAAGTGTGGATGTTCTGAACAGGGAGTAAGTTCAGATCTATAAAGAGTGGGGGGGAGGTGTTGCCAGGGGTGGGATTTAGTGATTATTCTTACCCGCGGCTTTTTGTTGGGTTATTATTGGGTTTTAGGTGTGTTGCTGCAGTTGAACCCCAAGCACAGATAGCATAGGTGAGGTTGGATATATAAGGGAAAGGTATAGGTAGAAGGGCAGTTTTTTCAGCAGTAGTATGTATCTTGGGAGGATCCCCCCGTTTTGGATATTTTTTTTTTATGTGTTGGATAGAGCACCAGCCCGTTTCATATTCACCCCCCCGGT